GGATGGCTTGGGATAAACAGGGGTGGTGTTGGGTGGGGTGTGCGGGCCGCTGGAGGGCCTCCAGTCCCTCCTAAGGCAGGGGAGGAAGGGCCATCGTTTAGAACCTTGTACCCCCCTGTGCCCAGGCTGGTCAGTAGCAGAGCCAGATACAGGGCAGAGAGGGGAAGGTGCTCCCTTTGAGGGGGCGAGCAGAGCCAGCCTCCCTGCCTGCCTCTCTCCCTCATACATGGCCGCCCCAGAGGGGAGGGGGGGGGTTCGGAATAGATGATCCCATGAACACATCAGGAAACATATGTGAACTCTACCCTTTTGGTCTCCTCTTTGAGCCTCTGGGGCTCCAGAGACCTGAGACACACCTGGCCTCTGGCCAGGCTCGAACCTGAGATGCTGGCTTTCTTCCAGAAGTGAATCAGCGTCTTGCTTATTCCTCCTCAGCCAAATGCTGAGGATACACACACACACACACATTTATATTATATACTATATATTTATATTATATAAATATGTTTACTATATATATGTATATATATATATATATATATATATATGATGTGTGTGTGTGTGTGTGTGTGTGTGTGTGTGCATGCTGGTATTGGGGCTTCTTGAACTCAGGGCCTGGCCACTGTCGTTAGCTTTTTCATTTTTCATTCAAGGCTGGTGCTCTACCTCTTGAACCACAGTTCCACTTCTATATTTTGGCAATTACTTGGAGAGAAGAGTCTCCCAAGCCAGGCGCCAGTGGCTTATGCCTGTCATCCTAACTACTCAGGAGGCTGAGATCTGAGGATCGAAGTTCAAAGCCAGCCCAGGCAGGAAAGTCTGTGAGACTCGTATCTCCAATGAACCAACAGAAAACTGGGTATGGCGCTGTAGCTCACGTGGTAGAGTGGCCTTGAGCTGAGGGACAGTGCCCCAGGTCCAGAGTTCAAGCCCCATCTCACACACACACACACACACACACACACACACACTGAATCTCACAAACTTCTTGCCCAGGCTGGCTTTGAACCATGATCCTCAGAGCTCAGCCTCCAGAGCTGATAGCTAGGACTGCAGGTTCAGTGCAAGCTTTGCCTCCCAGTCTTGTGATGAAAGGCTTCCTCCACTGCCATCCCCAGAAGAGTACAGCACAGCCCCTCCTTCAACCCACGCGCTGGCCCTCAGCACAGTCCACCTGTGTGTGGGCTCCCATGTACTGTCCGATTCGGCACTGAATCTGCTTGGCTGTGGAATGGTGCGGCAGGTGGGTAGACAGGTGAGAGGACACAGGTAAGGAAACAAAGTGGCTTATCTGGTCCTCACATTGTGTCAGAGTACATGCCTCCTAGGGGAATTAAATGAGGTAATATGTGCCAAAGCCCAAAGGAAGATCTCAGTTTAGAAGCAGATCTGTACCACAGGACCAGTGTCGCCTCAGATGAGACATTTCAACTCGCGGAGCTTAAATCTCAACCAGGGGCACACTGAAAATGGTTTTAAGCCAGACCTTGTTAGCTCATGCCTGTCATCCTAGCGACTTGGGAAGCTGAGATCTGGAGGATCTCAATTCCAAGCCAGCTGCGGGCACTGCCAGCAAAGTGTTTCTCAACCAACAGTTGCACACCGAGGCGCACACCTGTCCCTCCAGCTATGTGGGAGATAGATCACCAGGATCATGGTTCTAGGCTAGCCTGGCAGAAACGCTGGCGAGTCTCTCTCTGAACTGAAGAAGCTGGTGTGTGGTGGCGAGCACCTGTCATCTTAGCCACACAGGAAGTATAAAATAGGCTCACAGTCCAGGCTTGTACTGGGGTAAAAGAAAAAAAAAAAGCATGTTTCTATGTCAAAATATGCAAAAAAGGACTGAAGAAGGGAGGCCCTGAGTATAAAACCTATACTTGGTGGTGGTGGTGGTGGGGGTTGGCCAGGTTTGGTGGCACAAGCTTTGTAATTCCACCCCCTTGGAGGTTGGGGGGAGGATTTCAAATTCAGAGTCAGCCTGAGCTCGGTCCACTGAAGAAGGAAGTTTTAAATAAAAGGAAGGATTTGGAACATTAGTATCCACCCTTCGGAGTTACTCTAAGAATCAGAGATAATTAACACCAAGTCCTTAGTCAGGGTCCTGTTGTAGGGAAAGTATTCAAAATAACCGCAGTTATTGCTACTTCTACTTTTTTTTTTGGGGGGGGTGCCAATCCTGGGCCTTGAACCCAGGGCCTGGCGCTGTACCCGAGCTGTTTTCACTCAGGGCTGGTTGGTGCTCTACCCCTTGAGCCACAGCCCCATTTGGGCCTTTTTGCTGGCTCTCTGGGGGATGAGAAGGGTTCATGGGCTGGCTGCTCCAGTCTGGCTTTGAACCACGGTTCTCAGGGCTCAGCCCCGCGTAGCTATGACGACCGGCGTGCGCCACCGCGGTCCCGGCTTGGAGAGACCCTCGGCCCGCCCTCCGCCATGCCGCCCGGGCTCTGGCGTTTCTGCCCTCTGATCGGTCTTGCATTGGTCGGTGGAGGCCAGGAGGTCCGGCTCCCGGTTTGGGGGCGGGGGGGGGGCCGTGCCAGGGCTGCCC